CAGCCGTGAGGGCGTTATAATGTGACAGTCAATCCCACTATTCGTTGGTAAAAGAGTAGCACAAGAGTTGGTGGTGGGTGGTGATATCTAGCTGCCTTCCCTCTAGTCCTACACTGCTAAATTAGGGATGGCTATGCAGATAGCCCTCGTGTAGCTTTGCCTGAAATTCAAAACAAACAAACAAGTTGAGGAAGATCAAAATTATAATTAGCAGTTTAGATTTTCATTATTACTTTGTCCATGACAAATATTAATGAACTTTATATCAAAACAAAATTCTAAATCTGAACATTGCATATAGTTTTATTTTGTAGGTTATTTGATGGGGGAAATCAAAATTTCTTAAAACTTAAGAACATTTATGTAGGAAACAGGTTTTTCTGACTGGTTATCTCCTCTCTTGTCATGTTTCTAAATTATGGGTGGCTGTACTTGAACCTTGGCATCACTGACCTATTTGTTTAGCCAATGTGATGCATTAGGTGCTGTTAGGTAATTACAATACAGACTTTGATTTTAAGGAATAAAAAAATTAATTTTCTTGTCTTTATAAGATTTTAGCTATTTTAGTTTCAAATAGAACTTGTGTTTTAATCATTAAAGAGGTTTTAATAAAGAAATGTGTATGAAATAGTAAATTTATATAAAATTTATATCAGTTTTATAAAAAAAATTATTTTTTTCTATTCAGACCATTAAATAATGAAGATAATGTCCAAAGCCATCCAGTTTCTCCATTAAGTACTAATGCACCTGGAAAAGTAAACTTGAAAGATGAAAAGAAGAAGAAACGTCGAGGGGAAAAAGAGCATAAAGAAAAGACAAGAGAGAAGAAGGTAATATAAACATTTCAAATGATGGAGGTTAAAGGATTAATATCTAGTTTTTTTCACCTTGTATTGAGGCCATTATTGCTACTTGTTACATTAATGGGCATGGATTAACCACTTGGTGTTGTCATATACATTTTTCTTATGTTCCAAAGTGTAAGTGTGGGTTGGTCCCCTAGTAGAGCTCTGCATTTTGGAGCTGGAGAGCTGGGTTTGAATCAGAACAATATCACAAAGCATACTCTCAGCTTTATGTTCTTTAAGCATTATAAGAGTGACAGTCAATCCCTTAGTGTGGATGGTGAGGTTCCATTAACTGACTGCCTACTGTCTGGTCATTAGTACAAAATTATTGATGGTGGCAGACAGCCCTACTAGCTTTGTTATATACAAAATACAATACAAATTCCAAGTGTGTAAATAAGCATCTATGGGTTTGAACCCATTGGATTTATTGGTCAGGTGTAATAAAGTTAATCACTGGGTCACAGCTATGTACTATGCATGAAGTTCAAAAGTTATAGCAATGATCCAGGGATCATTATATTGGTTTTTAGGATATTCCTGTACTTTCTGATGATACTTTGTTCACTGTTCTACAATATTCTGATATCTTGCATGTTTCATTTTCTTTAGGACACAAATTATCATTACCGGTTATAGTACCTTAGCTCTAAAACATAACTTAACATTCAAATCTTTGTTGTTTTTAAGAATATATTTATAAATGTATCAGTGGCTCCATGCTATAGTTGTTGATATTTTTGTTTTGAAGTAGTTTTTTTTTTGCACAGTATAGTAGCCTCATTAATAACATTTATGAAATGCATACGTAAATAATTCAAATAACTTTAAAACTTGTGTTGTCAAATAATATCATTTCATTTTCGTCAAGGATAAATCAAGGGAGAAGCACAAAAAAAAGAAGCAAAAAGAAGAAGACACTGACTTGGTTTCATCCCAATTAATTGAAGAGAAAAGCAAAGAAGAGCCTGTTACTAATGGGTTATCACCAGAATCTGCAGATAAAAATGAACAGACAGAGAAGCAGAAAAATGCTGAAAACACCAAAGGACAGGTATAAAAAATGTTATTATTATATGAAAGAGAAATTATATCCTGGTAAATATTATAAATGAAGAATTTTTATTAATTTGAAATTTTGCCATTTACAAAATAAAAAATGTTAGAAGCAAGATAAAACTACTTCTGTTGAATAATGATCCTCTTTCTGTAAAGAGGAGTTTCTATTTAGTAACTGAAATATACATATTTTTACTATTTTACAGCTGGATGATATAGAGTTCTGGCTCTCTCCAAATGACTCGTCGCAGAGACCAAACAGTGAATTAGGTGCTAAAGTTTCTAGCTCTCCTGTACCTCCTTCAGATTTAAATCTTGATTCAGTGAAAGTTAAACAGGAAAAGGAAGAAAAAATGAGCTCAAAACCAGAGGTATTAATCTTCATATTCATAAATCGGTTCTACTTTAGAAATTTGGGTAAATTACAATTTCTGTTTCTCCAGGAAGCAATTTAAATCAAAATAAGAACATTTTTAGCTTAATTTTACTTTATGTTATGCATATACTTTGCATAAATGAAGTTTTTTCTAAGTATTGTAAGCTGTATTTTCAATTTTTTAATTTAGGTGGATACATATTTAGAGGATACATAATGTTATGATCTTGCAAATTCTTGTATTAAGTAGAAAGTGAGTGCAATATAAGTATAAATAATGAATAAGTAGTTAATATATATATACAGGTACACCACCGATTTCCCGGCACCCTTGGTTCCAGAGCCTTGCCGGACCAACAGAGGTCACATAATAATAATAATAATAATTCAACAATACAGCCCTCACCCACTAATTATACCTTTCCCATGTGTCTACAGCACCATGGACTGATAGAAATGTAAACACCATGTTCAATTTGTTTCAACAGTTTTACCTTGTCTTGTATCGATATAGACTTGTGCTTATACTTGACACCACTACTGTCACTTGGACATTACTTACAAGCCATAGCTGTGGTTTAATGTAAGCAAAATAAGCTAAGAATTGTACAAAACCGAGGGATCACCACCAATTAACTATTTTGCGACGGAGGAACATGACGCCATCTTTAAATTCTCTGTGTTGACATAAATAAAAAAATTTAAATAAACAACTTTAAATATTTTTTCATAAAAATTTTTGTTTTCAAGTACGTTATATTTTGAATTTTCATACACCATTATCAACATTCTGTACTGTTAAAAAATTGAAGAAAAAATCAAAACTAAATATTTGTATCTTGTTAAACTACATATTCTTGGCAACATTCATGAAAAAATTCAAGTAATTTGATCCACTAGTTTAATATTTATAAGAAAATTTTCACGAGAGTGATGTACCTACTTAAAATGTAAGTAGCCCATCCAGAAAGAGTACACGCCACGCGCAATACCATCTGTGACTGCCCAATGAACTGGTCTGGCAGTCACGGGAATTTTGTCCAGATTAAAGGAGGTGCCGGAAAATCGGTGGTGTACAGTAATGAGTGAAGTATTTGGTGAATGATTTTGTTCACTATCAGAAAGGTTATTCAGTGTTAGAAATGAGTTATCACACATCTTTACTGCTAGTCAGTTACTTGGTGAGATAACATTGTTTATCAGTTGATTAGCTTTATGAGGAAATTTATAACTTAACCATACATCTTGCAGTGTATATTGAAATGTTTTCTGTGAACATTGGCCTTCAACTTGTGTCAAAGTGAATGTAGCCTGTAGCAAACGTCATTGAAGAAATAAGTTACTTTGTTATTGTTACATGGACTGGATTTGGCATTATTTGTACCAAATAATGCAAAAGAACTGGCTCAATGAAATAATGTTACAACACTGATGTGTCAGAAGTGGGATTATTTTGGGAAAATAAACTTCAACATTGACTTAATTTCAAGATAACAACCCAATCATGAAGCAAAATCAAAACTTGGTTAGAAATGATGAAACAGTTAAAGAAAGTCAAGAAGAACAAAAAATAAGTGACAGTAATTTAAGAGATCAAAGAAAAAGACATAATACTTAAAGAAAAATTAAGAATAAGAATAAATCTAATTGAAGACAAGATCAACAAAGAAAGAAATTACAACAACAAGAGTGAAAAGAGCAAAAGGATATTGACCACCTTTTTCTGCATCCACCCAAGGATTTCAATCTAAACCACCATATCCCATTAAATGTGGAATAGAAGAACCTATCTAGTCTACACCTGTTACCACTGGTACTTTGCTATTTGTGACTCAAGGACCTTCCCGGACTACTGCAGCCATGACGCTACCAAATTAAGGTCTAGAACTTAGCTAGCCATTTGAGAAATTAATGGACTATGATAAAAAGGTACCATGGGAGGCATATCAGTTTCAATTCAAAATCATTTACAGAGTGAATGGATGTAATAGTGAACAACTAGCTATTCATCTTGCTGCCCATTTAAAAAGAACAATTTTAATTTTGTTAAGAAACTTTCCAGCCAAGAGCCCATAATGGCAATTAAGCATTGGTAGCTACCTCATCCAACGGGTTTGGAGTAACACACTAGAAAGATGTATTTGGAACACAGAGGAAAGAAGAAACCTTAGCTAAACTTGTGGAAGATTTGGAAAGACTACCAAAATGGTCCAAACATAAAGATGTATTTGTTGGCATATGACCAATTTATAGATGCCATAAGTGAGGATATAAAAATCAGGAATAAGCAAAGTAGGTGTACATTTTTGATGGGAGCTCTGGATCTTACGATTGAACTTGAAACCATTAAAATAGCAGATAAAAAAACTGAAGACACCATATAGAAGTTACGGTATTGTCAGATCAAGTAGTATTGAAGCATCAATTCTCCATGACAGTAGTCTAGAAGAACTGAAAGTGTTAGTTAAACAACTAGTCACACTGAATGGAGGAAATAAGCCACAAGACAATAGATATTTAAGTTACGGTATTGTCAGATCAAGTAGTATTGAAACATCAATTCTCCATGACAGTAATCAAGAAGAACTGAAAGTGTTAGTTAAACAACTAGTCACACTGAATGAAGGAAATAAGCCACAAGACAATTTAAAGTGTAACATGAAAGGATATATTGCCAGGAACTGCCAACAAAAGCTTTTTTGGAATAACTCCTCCCAAAGATTGTCAGTAAAAGGGAACTTCCTATTATAAATGTGCGAAACTGAAACTGTGAGGAGTAAACATCTGTTAATATACCAAGGAGACAATACTCTGAGGATGAGTCTTTGATACCAACCAGACATTAAAACAAACAAACAAAAAAAAATGGGTATTGGCTATAATTATAGGGTGAAACTCTGCTGTGAATGCTCTATCTGCCCCAAATGAGCTAAGAAGTTCATTATTTGAGGAAAACTATCCATAAGGCATGAGATTATCGATAGAAAACCTTCCAATATGTTGATCAACACTGGTTCTACAGCTAGTTATTTGACCTTATTTGATAATTAAAGGTGGGAAGTTGCCTTCATAGATGAAGAAAGAAGAAGGATTGATGTGAACAGTAGGTGGACATAAAGTTCCAGCAAGAGGTAAGTAAGAAGTTACTGAAGGAAGATTCTCTAAACCTCGTGATGTGCGAGTAATTGATATTGAGGAATAGTGCATATGGGGAAATGACTTCATACAGAAAAGTGAATACAAAGTTTTGCTAGCTTCTAATAGTTTTGCAGTTTATGACTTGGAAATCCCTAGGTATGCATGGCAATTACTACACCAAACGTTGAAATTATAGTGATAAGTGACAACAGGAAGTATGATCATTGCACCACTACAAGATGAACTACTCATACCAGGACTTAGAGTAAATTTATATGTAGTCACTAGGTCGTAGTGGAACCAAAACACTCCAGCATATCATGAGGGATTGATATTTGGAAAAGCTCTCATGGACTTAAAGAATATAGGTGTCATATGTGAATTTACCTGGGTAAGACAAGTCATATAGTGATAAAATGAAAAATTGCTATGATGTTTATGCTGATAAGACTGGATTCCATCAGGTGACATGATATTGTTGTACAATCCCTACCACAAGAAAGAATGATTTCCAAACTTAAGCTGGTTTTGGGAAAAGCCACATGTTGTATTGAAAAGAATCAGAAAAGGACAGTGTTGTATGCTTTATTTTTAGTGTTTTAATTTAGATGTTTACTAGAGAGCACATGATGTCATGATCTGAAAAATTTGTGTAGTGAGAAAAGAGTAAGTACTTTATAAACATGAGCAGTTAATGATAGTGAGTTTTTTCAGTGAATATTCAGTTCAGTGTTAAAAATGAAAGTTATCACATCTATTCAGTTATTCTGCAATTTAGCATTGTTTATTGATTGATTAGACTTGTGAAGAAATTTTAGCCACACATCTCACACTTTGTATTGCAATGTTTGTGAACTTAGACCTACAACTTGTGTCAAAGTAATTTTAGCCTGTAGCAAACATTATTGAATAATGCCAAAGAACATGCTCAGTGATAAAATGCATTGTAACAAAATGTTTATTAGCATTTTTACAAAGATACAAAACCCTATAACTTAAGCACTTTCCAAAGTGCTTGGGTTATAAGGTTTTGTATTTCTGTGTTAAATTGGTTTTTAATCTATGTGTTTTCCTAATATCATGTATGAACATTTATAAAAAAAACAAAAAAAACAGGCTTGTTCCTGGTTTATTACTGAATAGATGTCGCTCTACAACACCAAGTCAGCTGTAGTAACAAACAGACTTCTTTATGGTTTATTACCGATTTGTTGTCTCTTTACAACAGCATGACAGCAGTATTGTCAAAGATACTCCTTCTTTGTTTATTACTGAATAGCTGTCTCTCTACAACACAGCTGTAGTAATAAACAACTTTTTTTGCTTTGTTACTCAATTGCTGTTGCTTTACAACACCAAGACAGCTGTAGTAACAAACAGACTTGTTTACTAAAAATGAATTATGTAGTAAAAATATATGTATGGAGAGTGACTGTCCTTTTTTTTGTATTTCACAAAACAACATTTCTTGTGTATATTTGGTCATCTCTGTTAAATATTGCTTGATTAGCATTTTCACTTCTGTATGTTTTTTAAAGTTATGTTCAAATATTCTTCTTGAAAAACCCTTATAGATTGAAACGTGAAAAACCAATTCTCAAAGACATATTCCTACTTGGTCAGCTGTATGACCCTGCAAATTATTAACTGTGATGGTAAAACGGTTAATTTTATTATAAATTTCAGGGTCTTCTCTTTGGACTGTCTTCCTGGTTTTGGCTTTGTTAGCCTACTGAGCTGAAGAAGCACACTTTAATTTGGACATTTTAAAAATTGAGATGAGCTGCAAGTAAAACATGCGGGTTAGTATAGAGTTGTAGCCAATGGTTCTGATTGGACACAATTTGGTAATATTGCATTGTGTCTCCTTGACAACCAAGCAAACATAATGGGGAATGGCCAATGAATATAATTTTTTGTGTGCCAACAATACCAAGCATGAAGTGTATGTATATCCAATTCAGTTTTATTACTCATCATGTTCTCTACCACCTTACCCTCAGATCGAACTATATGCCCAAAGTAGCACATCATCCATTTTATATATATATGGCTGAAATAATTTTAAAAAAAACAAACTTGCATTGTGGTTTCGTGTAACTTGAATGTTGATCAGTATTACAATGGCAGAGATATCGGTGTGACAGACAGATGGCTTTTCATCTTCATATAGTAGCTTTCACTTTGAATTTTGCTGGAATATTTATCAATAAATTTATTAAGTAGTTCCATGACATTAAATCTACTGTATAATTTGTATACAGTTGACATTACTCTGTGTTTTACAAGGTATAAAAGATATTTGTTTCTCTTATGACTTAAAGCAATATATGGTTTTAAAGTTTTGTAAAAAATTAACAATTGGCCTATTAAATCAAATAAGTTTGACCTAACCTGGAATTTTTTTTTAAAGTGATACAAACTCTGTGGTAGTTATTATGGTTCTACTTTTATGTTAATGAAATATATTTTGATATGCTGGTCTACATCTTCAAGTGTGTGTGTGTGTATATACATATATTTCTTATGTATATGTGTATATATATATATATATTTGTAATTTTTATTTAATATTTGAGTGAGATTTATAAGTTTTTGTGTGCTACCCCCAGAAAACAAAGAAAAAGAAGAAAGAAAAGGAAAGGAAAAGCAAAAAGGAAAAAAAGAAAGTACGAGAACACCATGATTCTCTGCTACAGGAAGATAGTCCAAAAGACAAGGCAGAATATGAAGAAGCTCCTGGTATAGCAACTCCATCAAAAGAACCGGGTTCCAGTCTGGCACAAACACCAATGACTCCCTCTATGCCTGTATGTAGTTTGTAATTTATTTCTAAGAATTTGTATGAATTATCTCAAGATATCTAATTACATTAGATTTTGGTATGTAAAGTGTTCATACCAGTATTTAGTTTCTATATGATGACTTTTGAAACTATTGCTCACAATACAGTACTGTCTTGGTAGCATTATTTTGATAGTGACTAGGTTTTATAATATAGGACCAAATTTAGACACCTTGGTTACTACCATGAATGGTTTTCTAATAAAATTAATTCTGCTGTTTGAGTATCTACAAAAAAGTTGAGTTAACCTTCTGTATATGGACTTGATCATTTTGATTAACCTTGCAACTACCACGAAATAATACACACTGTAATTTTTAATGTAGCAAGTTTACCTTCACAAAATTTTGCAAGCTTTTAATAAACATTGCATGTCTTTTGTACACAAAAAAATCAGATTTTTTAATTGAGTATTTTTACTAAATATTTGTCTGTCAATTTATGGAGTCTGACTCTGACTAGTTTTAGTGCAAGGTGATTTTCATGTTAAGAGTGAAAATACCTTTTTCATATTATAGTTTCTTTATTTCATTTGCATAACTTCTACAACCTCCTTAATAAATATTGTTTCTTTCAGTAAAATTTTATATATTTTCTGTTATTTTTCCTATCACAGCACTATATTAGGCTCAGCCAGTTTGACTACTTTGTAAACACCATAAAAAATATGAAGTGTTTCTGTCATAGCACTATATTAGGCTCAGCCAGTTTGACTGACCTTGTAAACACCATAAAAAATATGAAGTGTTTCTGTCATAGCACTATATTAGGCTCAGCCAGTTTGACACCATAAACAGTTAAACACCATAAAAATTTGAAGTGTAAATTATCCTTTTTCCTTTCTAGAATGACTGCAGATTGTAACAGAAAATTACAGATATTTATTTTTAACACACTCAGGCTCATGACAGTTTATTAAGCTCTGAATTTGTATCAGAATATTTGCCTTAGCTGATCCAGTTGAACTTGAAGGTAGTAACTTTGAATCTGTATGTTGAATAATTCAACGGTTGTTGTGAAAATGAGCTAGCATTGTACCTACATCAGTAAATTAAAATCATCTCTTTCTCTTGAAGATTAAAGTTAGATTATGCAATTTCTATAAGTTAGTAACTTGCCATAACTCAGAAGCTAAAGTAGGGGTGGAAAGGTTATTTAAATTGTGCAATTTGAAGCAAACAAGGGTTACATGATAAAGGTGAAAATTGAGAATTTATTGAAATATTCCCTTTTGAAATAAAATCAAAGCTTGTATCTAAATTTGATTTTGTAACTAAAGCCAAATTTTTTGATATACATTGTTAATAAAGTAGTTTAAATAAATTTTGAATGCAACTCTGTAAAAAAGGTGACGTGCACTGAAACCTAGCCATATCCAGAGGGCTAATGAATTATTCCTATTGTCTTATGTTTTTCTAATGGCTTAAAAGTAATTAAAACATAAATACTTATGAGTCTGCACTTCTTTACTTATTTTAACAAAATTTTGTTTATGATTCATAATATTGTCCATATATTCATGTATTAAATTAAATTTTCGTTTTTCAAGTTTTAGATATTTATTTAGCATGAAGTATAATGATATCAGTAAGTTAGTTGTGAAATATTTTTATTCTTTAAAATATTGTATTAGGTCAGCATAATTGCAAGTAGTAAACATTTTTAAAGTAAAAAAAAGTACTTAAGATACAAGGATTTTTTCATATTTTTGCAAACCTGTAGGTATTTCTTTTAAATTTCTATAAATGGTTACATTTCTTATATTACAGCCAGCTTCTAAATACAGATTATTAGCTGAAGATAAAAATATGAAACTGGTAAGTTCCTAATTTTCCTTTGATAATCAGAAAGAAATACTTTCTTGTGACATTTAGGTCACTCATTGGAGATTTGTTTTTGTTATACTTTTTACATAATTTGTATTACTACTGTACATCTTAGACTTGTTTCCTTCCAAAACAATGTACAAGGTTTGAGAAAACCTATCAACCAAACTCAGAGCTATTAATTTTTTTACTTGTACAAATTGTAAAATAACCAGACAGGCAGCAAACCATCAATAACAATTCTGGCCGCTATTAATCATTAACATTAGAAATTATCTTTTTTTAATAAAATGAAATGTTTTGAGGTCCTGCTCATAAAATGAAATAATATGAAACTTGAGTGTTATTTTACTAAAAATATCAAGTTTCCAAAAATTACTTGAGTAATTTAATTTACATCAAAGATTTCATGAGAACATTATTTGTGTATTGCTATTATACTGCTACTCGCTTCTCTCTTCAGTATCAAAGTAGTTCAAAGTTATTGATCTTCAAATTGGTCACTTCAAATGAAGTAGAAATTGCTGGTAAATGAGGCTGCAACTGAAACCTGTATACCCTTATTCAAGAACAAAACTTGCTCTATTTTGTTTGAATATTGTGGAATATCTGTGTTAAAGAACACTCATGTTTACTATTCACCATTGTACAGTATACTATTCAGATAATTAACAGTTCTCTTATGCAGTTTTTACATGTTCTGTCTGTATTGAGTTTTCAATTAAAACAACTGATATCTATCTCATTTTTACACAGAGTTATAGACTTGATGATAAATGAACTTTCAAAATGCTTTACAGTTTCAGTAAAACTTTTCTTGATTTCAGTAAAAATATAAAAACTCCAATACAAATGTGTGGATCATTATTTCCAGTTTTATTTCTGGTGGTGTTCCAGTCGTGTAAATAGACTTAGGGGTGTACTATGCACACCAATATAAAAAAAAGGGACTCTGGTATGGCCTGCCAACTTCTATATGCGAGTGTATATTAGGAGAACATATCAAAATATCATCATGATTTCTTGGTTTTAATTTTGACTTGGCTTTATAACATATACATATATGAAAATGCATTTGTACCTAAGTACTTAAAGATATTAATAAACTATATTTTACATGAACACACTTTTGACAGCAGATATTACAAAGCTAAGTAAAATTATGTCACATGACTAACATACATATCATACAGTTAAAAAAACTAACTAGTTACACATTCACCCAAGCCTGGCCCACTGATTAGCTTGGTAGACTGTCGATCTGAGATTCTGTGGTACTTGCACAGTCACATCCAAAATAAAGTTGTGCTCTGTACTTTGTAGCCATGGTTGTGTTATAAGAGTGGTGGTAGAAATCCCATTTTTTCAGTTTGACAAGAGTTGGTAGAGGGTAATATTGACTTACCTGCCTTACCTGTAGTCTTATCAATTCAAATGTAAGTTTGATTAGCACACATAGCCTTTGAGTAACTTTGTGCAAAGTGAACTAAGTAGAATTAATAAGTTTTACAAAAATAAATTATGGGTCTTAAAGGAAGTAATGCATAATACATATATATATACATAAATAGAAAACTTCTGTTATACTTCATAGTAATGAGTATCCCTGTGATGTCTCAGTTAATTATCTTTTGTTAGATTTTTCAGCAATAATTTTTTGTAAAAAAAAAAGAGAGAGAAAAATAATAATAAATAATACGTGCATGATGTGAGAGTATTAAACCAAAAATACTCATTAAGGTCCTAAAAGAATACAGGGGAAAAATTAAAATTATGTTAACACAAAAAATAATACATGGAATTAAGTTTTCTTAAAACAAAAAGTTTCAAGTTCATTAGGTTTTTTGTTTTTCTTTTAACAATCCTAGTTCCGATTAGTCTGTAATTTTATAAGCCAAGAATTTTTACACTCAGGTGACTGGGCTAGTCAGCAGTATCTAAGGCGAGCATGTTTGATGATAGGGAATCGAACTCATGACTCTCAGATTCTGAGTCTAGTGCCTTAACCACCAGGTCAATGCTAGGCCTTTTAAGTTCATTAGTATGTGAAGTTAAAATTATTTTACACTGAAAAAATACATTGAGGTAAAACATTCTTAAAAGCATTTGAAGATCACTGATATGTAGTCCACCAGTGACATCCATCATTTCTACAAGTAAGATATGATATTTCAGGAATAAACTGTGTGTGACAATTTTTCAAATTTACACCATGATGAGGCACTTTGACATGTGTCCTGCTTTAACCATTTAAGGACGAGTACAGTCAGTGCTTGTAAAATTTGAAATTTTTGGTTACTAAAAATATGTACAATTGGTGTATTATTAAATATTTAATACCAGCATTATTAAATCACTTTTCACTTTGAAATTAATGTCCTCATAAGTTAAAATTATTTAAAACGTGACAGTTTATTACAGTGTTCTATAGCTTGCAGTAACCTGCAGATGGTGAATATGAAATGCATATGAATCAAGTTTATTAAAGCTGAATGTATTGATAATTTTTGTTATTAAACTACTCATTCATTTAATGTATTTTATAAATACTGTGCATACATTCCGTATTGTCTTAGATTTAGGGTATTTTTCCTCTTGAAGAAATTTGATTAAATGTATATGGAGGGCAATTAAATTTTAAGTCAGCTTATGATATTGTTTGTCACAAAAACTTTACGCAGTGATCAGCCTAGTCTTGAGAAAACTGCACATTCATTTCATTATTTTTTTAAAGTTCGAAATTCTGCTACTTTAATATGTAATGAGTTATTTGTTTTAATAGAATCAAACTTCCATTTTCAGATCTATGAAACTAGGGTGCTTCCAAACTCCAGTAATCAGATCGTTGTGTCCATAATTTTCACCAACCAGTGTGGCTATCATGTCAAAGAACTAGAGTTTAACATACTTGACACATTGAACACCAGGCTTGCAAGAGGGGTAAGTAAAAATAGTATGAAGTAGTAATTTTTTTCTTTTTTAATAACACCGAATGTAACAGTTTTTTTATATACTAGCTGTTTTAGGATAGAAAATTCTTGTATGAGCAACAGTTCTCAGTGGAGAATGTAAAAGTAGTTTTCTTCCAGTGTGTTTATATAATAGGTTGTTGTTATTGTTATTATTATTAGCTGTAGTTTGATAAGTGTGAATTACCTTTTAAACTTAAAATGCTGGTGGATCCCTTTATACCTTACCTACTTGATATGTGTTATAAAACTAAATAACCATTAAAAACAGTGAGAGGAAGTTTCTGTTGTTGTTATTAACAGAAGGCAATATGTTGGTATTTATAAAAATCATTATAACCACATAAGAAATTATCACTTATTGATCCACAAAGAATTATCGTAATGTCATGCAAGATGGTACATAAATGTTTTAAATAGTCTAAGTGATTTTACTTGTAGCTATTCTTAATTGAATTACTTTATAACCTGAACCAACATTTATTATGATTTTGCATTTTAAGAAATGTTTGAACCAAAACAGAATTGTTTATTTATTAACATAGTTACCACAATAGTTTTTGCTTTTACGAAATGTTCTGATTTAGTAAAAGTTTAAAATAGATAAATCTGTATGCTCTAAGTGATAAACTTTAAAACCATTTGATTAAGCAATATTACACAATTTGTTAATAGAGCAAGTATATACAGAAGCAATGGCATTATCATAACAACCACAATGATTAGCAAGAAGGTTTCTTTTACAGTTTTATGTTAAATCAAAATTTTACTTTAGATTTTATTTCTGACAGACTTTTCATGCGATAATTGAGAACTTTACCGTACTTATAAATTAAGTATATTTAAAACTTCATTTGGTGTTATAAATGAAAGATCTATTTTATTCAGAGGACTTGGAATAATATGATTTTTTTTCTTCTTCCTCCTCTTCCAAATAAGAAACTTAGAATTGGCCATTTTAAATACGGAAAAGCATGGTCAGATGGGTTGCTTAATCCTTCTTCTCCTTCCTTTTTTTTTTATACCAGTGTTCTAAATTACTGATAAGTACAATAATGTTAGTAATTATATGATGATAATATCCCAGCAACAATTTTTTGTCATGCATCACTAGTTTTACTTATTTTCCATAGAAATAATTAATTAAACAAACAACTACATTTTACCTTTAGCATTTATTGCACACTATAATGACTTACTGGTCAATAAATTACAGTGCACAGAAGCACAGGGACCTATTATAAATATAAAATAAGAGTATCTGGAAGCTGAATGGTTTGAGTAAACATCCAGTTAAGTCCAGTTGGATTAAGTTGCATAATAGATCTTGTAGAAGTTAGTCAATGCAATCACAAAACCAAAAGTCTTCAGAACTTCCAATTGAATGCCTTCACTGTTAGAGGAGCTCCATATAGCAACTTTACCACGAAACTACTAATACTACTCAAACCACCTTATTAACTTTACTGTTACATAAAAAAAAGTCTAATTCTTGCTCTATCCAATTATATTTAAACTTTCTTAATAGCTGTTTCCAAAGCTGTGTTTCATTAGGAAGGGATCAAACCATTTAACGTCATAACAAAAGGGTGGTAACCAACGTACGTACAAACACTAAGCCAAAAAAAGATAAGGAAATGCTTGAAAAGATATGAATAATATATTGTCAGAGGGTGATAGTTTCTTATCAGTTTTAAAATTGTCAAGTACATTGTTTACTTCATGAATTACATTAAATAAATGTTAAAAATGACAAAGTATTAATTTTAAAATATTTTTGGGTTAAAAACTTTTGAAATAAAGTTACAATTATATAATTATCGTTACTTCACCTTAAATCATGACATTTTTTCAAGATATGAAATTGACTTTGTTCATTTTGCAAAAAAAAAAAAAAAATTAGAAAAGCCAGAAGGAAGCTTTTGCTATACTCTTTATTTTGTATACAACTGGTTTGAATATTCATAATCATGCCAGGATTATCAGCTGACAAAAAAAAAACTGCTAATGCTCCTTGATGGTCATTGGCTAAACACTAGAACCCCAATGGCTTTTTGCCAGCTAATAGCTTCTAGCCATTTTGATAAATGTTATTTCTCATAGATAAGTCTGAGTAAAGTTCTAACAGATGAGAAAGTTAAACCTGTTTTGATGTTCTGAATTTAATTCATGTTGATGGTATTCTTTAATATATTTTTTTCTCACTGACTGATACCATACTATGCTTGAATAATTCAGAGAACAAATAGCTAGCAACAAGTTCTACAGTTATCATAACAGAACATTAACATCTTCACTACTTAGTTATGTTCTACTTGCTAGTGTTTGTGGTAAGAAAGAAGACATTAAAGGTTTGATGTGTAATTTTTTATTCCTTATTCTGAGTTAAAAGTTTTAGGAAATACCACCCCAATTACTACCGAAAAAAACATCATTAAATTGGGCAGATGAAAATGCCCTATAAGAATTTTGAGCCTGTCCTATAAGTTGTGCAGCAGTCATGGGATGTTAAAAAAAACTTGCATACCTTTCTGTAAATATCTTATTTGTAAAGGCACTGTTAGTTGTCTCATAATTTAAAAAAAAATAAAACATGCATTACTTCCATGTTAAAATTGTACTTTTTAGTGTCATTCACCTTCACGTAGTTATGAACTTGTTTTACTTGCTAATAATTTGTTTTTTGATATTTAATATTGCCTTTGCGATAAGAAGCATTATAAAGTCATTAGGCAACAAACTCGTTTTAGTAATTAGCTGTGTGCTTCAGTTTCAACTGTATCAATTCTTCATCCAGGAAGTCAGTAATGGGCACCCCAGTGGTATATCAGATTCATATTTATTATCAGGTCGCTTATTTCTTTCATTAACTTTCTTTTTCTTGCCATGTAATATGTGACTTCGGATAAAGCATTTGATAAAGTTTTAGCTCATTATGATCATGTTATATTTAGAACTTAATAAATTATATAATCTAGTGACTCTCGTAATCTTCTATTATATTTTGACTGTCATGATCTTGTTTTCTCTGAAGAGTAATCAGTAGAAAGGAGTTTCACTAGTTATGGCTTTTGTCACTCTTCAATACTGTATATATAGAAAGAGGGGGGGGGTAAATTAGATGGTTTTTAATGATACCTCTAATCTTGTTCACAAATCAGTTTTCCTAATTGCTGTTTTATACTTCAATTGTACTGCTTTCTGGCTTTTAAGAATCCCAGAACCTATCTTTTGCAGTTTCTTTGCTTGTTCTGCTGTTTTTAACAATTTTTGTTTTCTTGAATATGTAATAAGAAACAGTAGGAGGTGAAAACTGTAGTCTGATAAATCACTATTCATTAATATAAAGTTTATAGCCTCTGTTAATCAACTTGTTTTCATTCCAAGTTGACTGTAGGACTGTCTCGAGAACGAGTTTTGTGCACAGTTAAGATTAGGTAGTGTTTGTAAACACCACTTTGCATGTTCATTCCAGTGTGATTGCTTAAAATCAATTTGCCCCTAGTCTAAAGGCTTATAACTAAAAATTGTTTTTCAATAGCAATGGTGGGCAAAGCGCAGATAGCCCATTGTGTAGCTTTATGCTTAACTGCAAATAAACAAAACAAAAATAAAACCATTTTCTGTATCCTCCTACCATGAATATCAAAGAGGATACGTTTTGATTTTTTTAATTGACAAGCACTTGTAAAGATCACACTGTTTCTTTGCTAAATGCTTACTTGAAAAGTAGAAAATAAATGTATGCCAGTAAAGTTTTCTTTCATTGTTTTAAATGTTTAGGTACAATAACTGATATTCTTGTTGTTCGTTTTGAATCAAACCTGTTTTCAGGTGATAAAGTGAAATTAACTTGTAACCAGTAGGTATTTTTACTCAGGCTATTTAAAGTTGCTTGGTATTGACTTGATTAAGGTAAGTAGAAATTAGGCTCATCTGTAGTACACATGTTTTTTTTAATGTATACACCTGGAAAAAAGTTAAGCACCCCCGTGTTTTTTTCAAGTGATTCAGATTCGACGTTCTTGTGACTGATTATAAATTACCATTCAATCTAAACGTGTTTATCAAATGAAATTATGCATTATTGGGCACAAGAAAAACAAGATTATCAACCGTAAAAATAACAATTTTTAATTACATATC